CCTTTTCCCTTGTGGCTTCAAAAAGACATTCTGCCTGTCTTCCGTCACATTCTTCTTTAGGAGACAGGGAAAACATGATACGTGTATAGTATATAAAAGATCAGGAATTGAAGCTGAGAGAATTGTGAAACAGTTGAGTGGGGTTTTATTTGGGGTGGGGAGCTTTCACACGGAGAGAGTTTATCCTATGAATAGGAACATTTTTGTTAAACATTCTCTGAATGTTTTATTAGCGAGAAGAAGAAAAAAATTCCTGTCTCTAAGACTGTCACTGAAGCTCTATCCCTTTGTTAGGGACTTCCTCTGAGAGGCCGCTGCTCCCACTTTCCCTCTCCTACGGAAGTGAGGAGCAGAACTTGCTCCAAAAGGTGTGAGCAGTGATGGAGTTAGAAAAAAAAATCTCAGATATAAACCGCCAGAGGGGGGATCACTGGAGACTAATTACACATTCCCTCTTACCCTGATGGCTTTATGCTCAGCTGTGTCCTCCCTCCTGACACGTTCAGGAAGCAGATTAGCCATGAAGTCCGGGGCCCAACCCCACCCGACCAGACCCTGAGCCACGGGCTGGCACAGGTTCCCAGAGCACACTGTTCCCCGCAGCATCTTCCTCACACGGATGCACAGCGAGGGGCAGGTCACCTGAGAACTCCTGCTCCCCAGGACGGGAGGCGAGGCTCCGGGGGATTGGCTGGCATTTTCCTTCGCTTTTTCTGATGTAACCCTTACGCACTATAAATTCCTGCCTCGTCCCCCGCCTGTTTACAGTTTGAAATCTTAGTCGTTGAATAGTCAGTATGTTAAAAATAAATTGCTTTGACATTAATGATAATGTTTGCAATGCTTGTTTTTCAATTCCCCCTTAAGAAAGAAAGACGTTCCAATTGCATTAGAAATAAATGTCTCAAAAGTGTACTGTTACAGTGACTCATGGAATGAGCTTTTACCTTGAAATACAAAATTTCAGCTCTATCCGCTAATGGAGGTAATAACTTCTATTTTTAGGACACAAAGGCCAGTTTAAATGTAAATTTCACTAAAAGGTGGTCAAGTACATCTGAATCCGGCTTAATATTGGCTTAAAACAATGGCAGGATTAAAGGGCTTTGGTAAGTTTTTCGATAAAACTGTGAGCTGCTTTCAGGTTTTTCTCACATGTGTTTTCTTGTGGCAGAAGGCATTTTTTTCAAAATGAACAAATACTGCCAGATGAGCACATCCACACTGTACACAGTGCATTTAGTCACTGTGATGTGAAGAGCCATCGAGTTATAACAACTTATTTCATGTCTCGCTCTGAATGCAGCGGGAAACATGCCTCCACTCTGCTCTGAGTGCCAGCCAGCCTCGCTGCTGCCCAGAGCTCTGTCCCCAGGAAAACAGGCTCCTTTCGCGTATTTCCCACCAATCAATTCCTCGGAAGTGCTTGTTGTTGCTGTTTAACACCGTTCTTAAAATATGCACCCCAAATTTGAATCCCATAGTGAGACGTTAAAGTTTTTTACTGGAATGCATTTTACTTAAAGTCATCTTAGGGAATGTGTGCTTCTCCCTGCAACTTGGACGGAATGTTCATCACATTCTGATTCTGAGAGTGAAACAACTTGAGCAAGTAAGCATAGCAACCGAACTGATGATGCTAATGAGATTGCATACAAACCCCAGTTTAAATTTTAAAAAAAAGTATAAGTGATTCTAAAATATTTGTCCAAAATAAGAAATCTGGATTGTGCTGAAGAATTTTTCCCCTCACTAATTGTAGTTTTTTAAAATACGTTGTAAGCAAAAGGCAAATTTATTATGAAACTTGGCTTATAAAATCTAACAATTCTCTGTTGTGTGAGGTTCATTAACATAATGAACTGTTAACAGGTCCAAATGGCCAGAATGCCACTTTTACTCAATTTCCTCTTTTCAGCTTTGCTTTCTTTAATTTTAAAGGAATGTAAGTGGAAGGAGCTTTTACTTTTACCAGAATATCTTCATTTCATCTAGGTAATTATCGCTTTTCATTACATAAGCAAAATTATTTGGTGGAAAGGGCTTAAATATTCTATGCCCAGTTTCTGCAATTGCAAAACAGTTGTAAATTTGCAAACCTGCCAGTAGGAGTATAAAGGAAGTCACCTGTAGGAACACTTCCCAACTTCCATGCATTTTGAAGTGAACCCTAAAAAAATAACTAACCCATAAAAAAATAAAAAAAAAACACAATGGAAATGGGAAAATTTATCTTTGGATTTGTTTTGAGTTGATGAAGAACTTTGGTTCTAGTACAGTGTGTAAGACAAAAGTCCTATTTTTGTTCTACATGCCATTGTTTTCTACAAAGGAAGTCAGGAAAATGCTCTTTCTGAAGATATAATTTCTTGACATTTAAGTAAGTAAAGTCTTCCAACACTCCATACGCTAAAAATGATCCGGAAATCAACCTAATTTGTAAGCACTTTCTCAGTGAATTGTCCCCCACATATATTCTATATAGAGAAAAAGTATTTCC